GAGCACAGTGTTTTAGTGCTCACTTCCCCCTTATTTCATGTTTTTCAGGTCACAAGGTCAGGGACGAGGAATGAGCTGACGTGCTGTTCAGGACATTTATTTTGATATGTATATGTATTTTGACCACGCTACTTTCCGCTAAAACTTTCAGTACTTAAACTCAATTTTTGTTCCGACTTTAGTCGGTTAATACTTTATATAACCGTTTTTATTATAAGTTTAAAATTAACAGTTTTTCAGTCAGATTTTCACGGTAGCATCCCGAATCAGTTTTCGCAAAATAAATATTTTATTAATTTATTCAGAAATTTTGCGAAAAATGCGTACTCTGATATTATAAAATAGCGGGGTGTTACAGATTGACCTTTCCCCTTTCGGTTCAAGAGTCAATTAAAATAGACTATAGGATTTTTAGTCATCTAGACTATTCGGATCGCGATCGTCACAATAAACACATCATATTCAATTTGAAAACAAGTTTAACATTGAAGTGTCACTCTTCAATACTTAGAAATCAATTGCAAGGTTGAATTGTCACTTTTCAACAATATGTCATTCCAAAGTAAAAATCAAAAACCGAATTTAGAATTAACTCATACAAAATGAACAATCGACGAGTACGATAATCACATACGATATCAAATATTCATCCCTATCCCTAGCAAATGATTTAATTATTCATATCAAAAATAAACTAAACATAAGATTCATTGCAAATTATCATTACAAGAAGAACAACTTACAAGTAATCCAAGTTGATGAATAAGGTTGATACAAACGCCAAACCGAGAATAAATGCACACCAAATAAAAATACAAACTTCTCCAAAATTCCTTCTCCTAAACACTTCTTTCTTAAGACAAGTATTTAAGAAGAGGAATTAAAGATTAGAATGTTACATGAATCATCTCAAACTTAAAAAACTCTCCCCAAATACAACATACAATAAAAAGAAAAGAAAATAAAAAGAAGAAGAAAATGAAGAGGGAAGAGGGGAAGAACCCCTCTTGGTTCAAGCATGCATGGAAGGTGAAAAAATGGTGAATTATGGGTTGCCAAATGATGTTGGATGATGATAGATATATAGAGACTTGAAGAGAGTGAGTAGATCATCTTCCTTAGCATTATTAGCATATTTTTAGGCTGGAAATTCGGTCCTAAGTCTTCCCCCACTCTCAACCACCATGAAAATAGGCCAGAAAATGAGGTATCAGCTGTTTGCCAGCCAGGTTAGCGCCGCTAAGAAAAAACTGCACTGCGCTACTTCACGGTTTTGGCTCGTTTGGGCTCGTCCTAACTCGGAATTGAGTTCTGTTTTTTTCCTACGCGTAGCTAACGAACCCCTTTATCCAATGATGCTTGAAAATCACACTTTTTCCCAGAGTACAAATTATGTGGGATTTCCAACCTTTAAAGGATCGGTAACTTGCACAGCTTCGCGTTTTGGTTCCGTCCGGATTCATCCGAACTCGAAATCAAATTCCGTTTTCTCCTATGTGTAGCCAACGAGTCCATCTACATAACCATAATTACCTGGTCTATGTATTTCTCTCATGGTGCCTTCGACTTGCACAAGAAAAACAATAAGAAAAACGGGAAAAACATACGAAAAACACAAAGAAAACCAAAATGGAACAAAATACATAATAAAACACAAAACGAACTAAAAACCAACTTAAAGACCTTAAATCGAGGAAAAAGAATGATAAAACAATAACGAAAATCGCAAAAAAAATGGACACAATAGTAATTAATAAAGTAATCTCATATGCCACATTATATTGTAGCATGACTTATGGCCGTATGCGTAGAGAAATGTTATAGGTACATAATATTGTACATATGAGTGTATATAGGCCTTGTTTGGTAATTAGTGGTTAGCTTTAGCTGATAGCGGATTGTAATAGCTGTTTTGACCAGTTGTTAGTATTGGCTGTTTTGACCGGCTAATAGTGTTAGCGATTCTAAAAAAGATGTTTGGGTAGATAGTTGATTGATTTGTAAAAATATATTTAATATTATTAACTTACTTATTTTGTTATATATATATATATATAAATATTTAAAAAGCAATGAATACCAAATGTATTTATGTAATTATTTTTTGTATCAACAAATCCTCCCTATATATAATTCCCGAATGCGCTGAGCCTACGTGGCTGCTTCTGGTGCTCCGGAATCCTACTTGGCGAATAATCATGCTTCGTAATTAGGTTTGGACAAATAATATTGATATATTAATAATTAATAATCTAGGTTCGGACATTCAATAAATATTATTTATCTAACTTAGGTATTTTAATATTACTTATACTAATATAACCCTTTAATTATTTGTAATTTTACATAGTGAGGCACTAAGTGACTAATATATCCATGACTTTGATTTGTTTCCTTCAATTAGCTATTGAATTGTAAATGTATTTTAAAAGTTGATAACTTTTGTATTTCTTATCGGTTTTACATATATTATATATCAAATTAATCATCTTTTGATGATCTTCGATTTGACATCCATATTGTATATATGAAATAAATAAATTATATTTGTCTTTATAATAATAAAAAATAATAATATTTATTAAAATTCATTAGAAAAATAAAATTATTTACAATTGATATATTTATTTTTAATGTAGTTATATTTTGTAAGTTAAAAAATTATTATAATATAACACAGGTAAGTCGCACAAATAAAAAGTGTCATACTAAATATATAATAATATATATATTTTTGTAAAAGGTATTTATATTTTCAACTACTTTTTTCTCATTAATTTTAGATTTTAAGAACAAAATTAGCAAGCACCCGTGTAATACACGAGTGTTGTACTAGTGTTTAATTGATTCTTAAATTAAATTAAGTCTTCATACTTATTATAATTAAAGTATATTAACGAAAGAAAATAAATTAAAAATATAAAAAGTGTGTCAATGCACTTAAATACAAATTGGTATTTGCAAATGACAACATAATTTTCATCCTTATCTTTTCTAATTTCAATAATAATAATAATAATAATAATAATAATAATAATAATAATAATAATATTATTATTATTAATAGTAATGATAATAATAATAATAATAATAATAATAATAATAATAATAATAATAATAATAATATAACATGCATATATGTTAATAGTGTTCCAACAAATATAAGAAAACAATAAATGTATCAATAGTGTTTTATGTTAGTTTATTGCTTCGATTTTTTCTAAGTGCTAATTTTTCACTTTTCTTGGAATTAGTTCATTGTCCAAATCAATTTTTGTCCTTCATTTTCTTTAGTATTTTCAATCATATTAGCACTGGTAAGAAAAAAGCTAATTAGAAACGCTGCAAGTTGAAGCGTTTTCCAAATTAGCGGTTTGGAGCAAAAAGCTAAGTGAAAAAGCTAATTTATCAAACACAAATATTAGCTGATCAACAAGTCAAATAAGTTATAAAGTGGTCAAACAACCAAAAATTGATTGAAAAACCAATTACCAAACGCAGCTATAATACTCGCATTTAGTGGAACCCACCAAAAATAAAAAAGAAAATCAGTGGCTCATTAGCACTACTGTATATAGTTCTATGTAGCATTTTACTAACATTTATGAGGGACAAAGGGAGAATTTCTCGATTTATACGTGTCATCCTTGCGCAAAGGTTCGCTAATCTACTTTGTATTGTTCCAATTTTTACGAGGGACAAAGGGATCATTGAGTAATTTTAAAAGCAGTTGTTTGCCCCTTAAACTAGAAAAGGGAGGTAGACTATTGCAGCAAGGGTCCCATTTACTGGACACAAATGTATGCAAATCCACCAACTCCCACTCTCCTTCAGTAATCTCAAGAAAAATGTCAGTCCTTTACGACTCTGAACCAGAAGACCTCATCGATTTTCTAGTACACAACGGCAATGGAGTTAAGGGCCTTTCTCAATTAAACCTCAAGCAAATCCCAAGCCAATTCATACAGCCGCCCGACCAAAGACACAGCCATATCCAAGTCTCGACCCAGAAATCCATACCCACAATCGACGTCTCCCAATGGGCCGACACCAACACCGCTCAATCGATCTGCGAGGCCGCGACAACTTGGGGTTTTTTCCAGATCGTCAATCATGGGATCCCACCGGAAGTTATGGAGAACGTGAAGAGGGCTTCTCACGACTTCTTCGGTCTGCCGGTGGAGGAGAGGAGGAAGTATCTCAAGGAGAATTCTCCCACTCAGAGTGTGATGCTGAAAACCAGCTTCAGTCCCTTGGCCGAGAAGGTTTTGGAGTGGAAAGATTATCTCGTTCATCTTGTCGGCACGGAGATTGATGGTGCGGATTTTGCGCTCTGGCCCAGTGTGACTAGGTACGTGCTTGTCGCCATTTATGGGTTGGTTTTGCAGCTTGATAAGATTGGTTTATGTCTTGATGATGGATTTCAAGAATGGTGTCTGATTTTCTAATATGTTGGCTATGGGACTTGCGTTGCCATGACCCATGAGTTATCAGGTTTCGCCTATTTTAAGGTTTCGCCTATTT